CTCAACTTCCTTAGCCATCAGGGAAATGCAAATCAAGACAACTTTAAGATACCATCTTACACCTGTCAGAATGGCTAAAATAAAAAACTCCAATGATAGCCTTTGCTGGAGAGGTTGTGGAGAAAGGGGTACACTCACCCATTGCTGGTGGGAATGCAAACTTGTGCAACCACTCTGGAAAGCAGTGTGGCGTTTCTCAGGAAATTCGGGATCAACCTACCCCTGGATCCAGCAATACCAATCTTGGGAATATACCCAAGAGAGGCCCTATCATACAACAAAAGTATATGCTCAACTATGTTCATAGCAGCATTGTTTGTAATAGCCAGAACCTGGAAACAACCTAGATGCCCTTCAATGGAAGAATGGATGAAGAAAGTATGGAATATATACATATTAGAGTATTACTCAGCAGTAAAAAACAAGGACTTCTTGAATTTTGCATACAAATGGATAGAAATAGAAAACACTATCCTGAGTGAAGTAAGCCAGACCCAAAAAGAGGAACATGGGATGTACTCACTCATATTTGGTTTCTAGCCATAAATAAAGGACATTGAGCTTATAATTCATGTTCCTAGAGAAGCTAAATAAGAAGGTGAATCCAAAGACAAACATATAGGCATCCTCCTGAATATTAACCTTCATCAGGCGATGAAAGGAGACAGAGACAGAGACCCACATTGGAGCACCGGACAGAAATCTCAAGGTCCAAATCAGGAGCAGAAGGAGAGGGAGCACGAGCAAGGAACTCAGGACCTCGAGGGGTGCACCCACACACTGAGACAATCTGAGACAATGGGGATGTTCTATCGGGAACTCACCAAGGCCAGCTGGCCTAGGTCTGAAAAAGCATGGGATAAATCCGGACTAGCTGAACATAGCGGACAATGAGGACTACTGAGAACTCAAGAACAATGGCAGTGGGTTTTTGATCCTACTGCACTTACTGGCTTTGGGGGAGCCTAGGCAGTTTGGATGCTCACCTTACAAGACCTGGATGGAGGTGGGTGGTCCTTGGGCTTCCCACAGGGCAGGGAACCCTGATTGCTCTTTGGGCTGATCAGGGAAGGGGACTTGATTGGGGGAGGGGGAGGGAAATGGGAGGCGGTGGCGGGGAGTAGGCAGAAATCCTTAATAAATAAATAAATTTTAAAAAAAAAGAATGGGGGGTGGGTTGGAGAGAGGTTAAGAGCACTGGCTGCTCTTCCAGAGGATCCAGGTTCAATTCCCAGCAACTACATGGTGGCTCACAACCATCTCTAGTGAGATCCAATGCCCTCTACCGCCTTAAAGGTGTATATGGAGATAAAGCACTCATATACATAAAATAAATAAGTCTTTAAATAGATATAGATATAAAGAATAGGGAGGCCTAAGGAGGCCAGGCACACAGACCAATTGGAGCTAGCCCACGGCCCGTGTGTGCCACCTGACCCCAAATGATGACCAGGACCAGATGTGGTGCATGCCCCTCAACCCAGCCTTCTCAAGCCTGAGTTGGCCTGGGCTACACTGCAAGACCCTGTCTAAAGAAACTAACAAAATCCTCCAGAGAGAGGTTCAGAATCAGTGAGTCCCCATGGTACAGATACCCACCATGCTCAGTGTCCCTGGAGTGGGGGAGAGGCTGCAGTGGTGGCACCAGCAGCTGCCCCTGTGGCGCCCGTGGCATCCGGGTCCCCATTGCCAAACTTGTAGGTAGACCGGTCTTTGCAGACTTGTGGTCAGACAGCCTAAGCAGAGTGGGGGGACGTTTCTGATTTATCTGCGTTCTTCTGCCCCCATGTGGCTAGGCATGGAACTGCATCATCAGGTGGCCCATTGTCCCTTTCTCAGTCTTGGCTGACTTTATAGAATAGCAAAGATGACCAGATATTAACACAACCACTCACAACCTCCTGGATGGAAAAAGTTGTCAGTTTTTCCCTTAAAGAAGAAAGCTTTGTTTCCAGAATTGTTCAACAATTCAGGGTTTCCTGGCATTTATCTGTGAGCTCTTGTCCTCTGTACCCCTTGCACTAGGGATTTCCTGACTTGCCAGAGCAGTGGTTCTCAACCTTCCTAAGGCTGCCACCCTTTAACTGTGATGTATGTGTGAACTAATTCTGCTACTGTTATGAATCGTAATGTAAATACATGATAGCAGGGTATCTGATATGCAACCTCTGCAAAAGGGTTATTTGACCCCCAGAGGGGTCTCAACCCCACAGGTTGAGACCAATGTGCTAGGGGGACAGACTCGGGTGGGGGAAGGAGACAGAAAGAGACCAGCTTCCATTCAAACTGCAACTGTACTAGCGACGAATGTGAACTCTGAGCCCTCAGAATCAAATCCCAAAAGGCTGACTGAGCCTCAGCTGTTGGGGACTGCAGCCTTAGCCTGCCAAGACCCCATCCACCCCCAACCATGGCAGAGCCCTACAGAGAAAGCCCGCTGAGAAATGAGGAGGCCTCAAATGACCCGTTCCCATGAGGGACTGCTCCAGAAACCATCCCTAGGGCACAGGCCTATCATGGCAGCACTGGGGAGGTAGAGGCAGGAGGATCAGGGGCGTAAACCAGCCATGGAGCCCCACGTTGCAGAAGGAGAGAACCAACTCCACCAAGTGGTCCTCTGGCCTCCACATGTACACCATGGCGTGTACATGTATGCACATGGAAATAAATGTAATTTTAAAGTTTTTTTTAATCCAAACAAATGAAAAACTTCCCAAGGTCCCATCTTCTCACTACACCTCTTTACCAGGTCCCAGCCACCCAAATCTCCATTGCTTTCCCAGATCCTCCACTGAATTTGGATTTGGTTTTGTTTTGAAGACACGGGGTCTCAACATGTAACCCTGGATAGCCTGGAAATCTCTGCATAGACCAGGCTGGCCTTAAACTCTGAGCTCTATCTGCCTCAGTCTCCCGAGTACTGGGGTTAAAAAGTGTGCACCGCCACACCCAACCCCACATTGAACTTACCACTCTACCTCGCTGATCTGAAACTTTTCCGCGAACCCCAAACTCTCTCTGAGGCCACAGTTTTGCCCTGTGGTATTGGAGGAAAACCCTTACCAGCCCTTCAGCCTCCCCCACTTACTGAAGCTCATTCAAGAGGCAACAGCTGCCACCAGGCTTGTGGAAGGAGGCAGAGAATCCAGGCCCCTGTCACTAGCACCTGTCCCTTTCCCGGGCTCTCCTCCCTCACAGCCTTCTCTGGAGGTCACAGCCCCCACGCAGTCAGATATCTTTCGTGGTTACTTTTCCATTACAGCCTCTGACCCTGAGATCCTAGGTTCCTGAGAGCCAACAGCGGGGACTGGGAATCAGGGATATGGTGGGAAACAGTGGAGGGACCTGATGCCTTCAGCACCCCCAGTTCTCCGGCTCCTCCTGAACATGGGATGAGCAGAGCAGAGACCTCACTGCATCCCATCCACCAAGCTCCCACCTAGGATGGAGCTCATCTGCTGTCTTCCCCAGGGGACACGTCACCCTGGCTGCCAGGGAGCTGCCTCCAGCGCACAGGGCACACACATAGCAAGTGCTCAATGAATCTTGGGGTCGTGAATGAACCCATTCATGTTTTCTATATGTATAGCTTACCAAATAAAACACAAACACATCTGTAAAGAGACAAGTCAAGCTCTATTCCAGAGTCACAGGAAATCCACCAGCCCCCTATGATAGCAATGTCAGCCCACTCAGTATCACAGTGTGGGCCAAGGCTAAGGGAGTCCTCCCTCTAGCCACTCCCTGCAGCAGAGCTAGAGACCAGAGGGCCAAAGTAACAGCTGCCCACCCCACCAGCTGCTCTTGAGAAAGGGCTGCTCACAGGCACACTGAAGATGCCCAAGGGCAGTGCCAAAGCCCTTGAGAGGCCCAAGAGAATGCTTTTGATTTCTTTAAGATCATCAGGAGGGCCTGGAGAGATGACTTAGTGGTTAAGAGCACTGGCTGCTCTTCCAGAAGACCTGAGTTCAATTCCCAGCCACCACATGATGGCTCACACCTATCTGTAATGAGAACTGGTGCCCTCTTCTGGCCTGCAGGCATACATGCAGGTAGAATACCGTATACATGATTTATTTATTTATTATGTATACAGTCTTTCTGCCTGCATGTATGCATGCACCCCAGATCTCATTACAGATGTTGGTGAGTCACCATGTGGTGGCTGGGAATTGAACTCAGGACCTCTGGAAGAACAGTCAGTGCTCTTAACCACTGAGCCATCTCTCCAGCCCCATAAATAATTCTTTTTAAAAAAAATCAGCAGGAGCCGGGCGGTGATGGCGCACGCCTTTAATCCCAGCACTTGGGAGGCAGAGGCAGGCGGATCTCTGTGAGTTCGAGACCAGCCTGGTCTACAAGAGCTAGTTCCAGGACAGGCTCCAAAACCACAGAGAAACCCAGTCTCGAAAAACCAAAAAAAAAAAAAAAATTCAGCAGGAAACAGAGATGGCTCAGTGGCTAAGAGCATTTGCTGCTTTCACAGAGGACCCAAGTTTGGTTCCCAGCACCATACAGCAGCTCACAACCGTCTGCAACTCCAGTTGCAGGAGGCCTAATGTCCTCTTCTGCCCTCCTCTGGCACCAGGCACACATGTGATGTACAGCTATACATGTAGGCAAACATTCACACACATAAAAATCATCTTTACATTTAAAATAATATAATAATAATAGCGATAATAATAAATCTGCAGAAAATATACAAATTGAGTCACAATCATCTACAAAGGCAGACAGCCTGGAGTTTGGACCAGTATTCTGATGGCAGACAGAGGCCCTGTGGATTCATTCCACCTTGGAAACCCCATACTTCTAGCCAACCACAACTCCTGCCCAAATTAAACAGTAATTACCAAGGTCAGGAAAAGGCCTTGTCAGAACAGGTTTGTCCCCAGGCTGAGGTCAGCCTTGACTCCTGGGCCCTCACCCCCCCACACACACTTAGGCCTATAAATGTCCAGCCTGCCTCCAAACCAGCCAGTCCTGAGCGCCTCATCATGCTGGGAATTACAGTCCTCGCGGCCATCATAGCCTGCGGTAAGCTTGGGAGTGGGGACAAGCTGCATCCAGTGGACTGTAAGATCAAGCTGGCCTTGGGGTGTCCTCTGCTCCCCAAGAAAGGCACTTTGGGGTCCTGTGTGGGTTCAGCTACTGACAGTTAAGCCACTTCCAAACTAGTAGGTGCTGGAGAAGGAAAGAACACCCTCTAGGAAGTGAGGCTTAGACCGGAGGCCTGAGCAAGGCCCCCAGAGGTGCTTCACCCTGCGTCCACTCCAGGGGGCCACTGGGCCTGCCTTTCCTACCTGTGTCTCCCTCTTAGGGTTCCTTTGCTCTCCCACTTTGGTGGCGTTCTCCCAGATTACAAACTGAGGGGTTCGATAGGCTTTGGTTTGGTTTTGGCAAGTGAGAGCCCTACGTCAGGTGTCAAGCTGAGCTCTGTAGATGCAGGAGCAAACTGGACCATACACAGCTATCAGGTTTGTCCATATCTCCATTCAACAGTGGGGGCACAGAGGGCCAGTGATGCTCGGGCTCACGTGCTGGCTGCCAGCCAGAATGCCAGCCCCATCTCCTCACCTCAGAGCAAGCACACACTGACTTCCTAGACATGACAGTGTGGAGCTCCGTGTGGCCCCCACTGAATGCTCCCCCCATGCACACTGCACACAAAAGGCCTGCTCCTTTCGCTATAGGAAGCATCCCTCTTCCTTCTGTGTGGCTTTTTTTTTTTTATTTGTTTGTTTGTTTGTTTTTCGAGACAGGGTTTCTCTGTGGCTTTGGAGCCTGTCCTGGAACTAGCTCTTGTAGACTAGGCTGGTCTCGAACTCACAGAGATCCACCTGCCTCTGCCTCCCGAGTGTTTGTGTGGCTTTTTAAATGTGTTGTGTGGTTTAATTCTCAGGAGATGCTCAGATTAGTGTTATTCTACACAACACACACACACACAGGGTGGGGGGGGCACTGAGGCCCAGACAGCTAGGGGGACTCTGAGTAGAATATGAGCCACCACCACACCTGAGCTTCCCACCTGCCCCTTGTGGCGGGGGGACACGACACAACAGTCTGCTTACCTTCACGCCCCTCTCTCCCCAGCCTCCAGCTGCGGGGATCCCACCTACCCACCCAACCTGTCAACCAGGGTGGTAGGAGGAGAGGATGCTGTCCCCCATAGCTGGCCGTGGCAGGTAAGCACTTCCTGAGACAGCCACAGAGGTTGGAGGGACAAGGCTGGGGATCCCTGGAGGACTGACGTGTGGCCCTTTTGCAGATCTCTCTGCAGTACCTCAGGGACGGCGTATGGAGGCACACCTGCGGGGGCTCTCTGATCACCGACAGACACGTCCTCACCGCTGCCCACTGCATCAGGTGAGCGGGGATGCCATCCCGAGACCCGAGTAGCTAAGGCTCCAGGCACTGGGCTCTGTTCGCTGGTTGAAAACATTTCCTGTGCACCTACTATGCACCAAGAAACTGCAAAGGCAACAAAAGCCAGCCTCCGGGGCTGTTTTGTCGGCATGTTCTATTCCACTGTTCTAGCAGAAAGTAGAGCAATAGATGAACAAGAAAATATGTAACTTATCAAACACAAAGAAGGCTGGAAAAGGGGAAGGGCACAGGTGGTTTGGGCTCAATTTAAAAGAAGATAACCCAGAACTGGAAGGGAGGGTGGGAGGGAGGGAGGAAGGGAGAGAGGGAGGGAAGGAGGGAGGGAGGGAGGAAGGGAAGGAGGGAGGGAGGGAGGGAGGGAGGGAAGGAGGGAGGGAGGGAGGGAGGGAGTTAAAATAGCAAAATAAGGGAGCTGGGGGTGTAGGTTGGTTGGTGGAGCTCTTTCTTGGCATATACAAAACTGTGAGCTGACGCCCCAGGTGTGACAGGACCTGTAATCCCATCAGTTGAGAGGCAGAGGAAGAAAGAGTCCAGGTTAAAGGCTGTCCTGGGCTGGGATATCCTTGCATTTGAGGCCAGCCTGAACTAAAAAGAAGAAAGGGGGTGGAGAGTGAGGGAAAAGAGGGAAGGAGGAAAGGAGAGAGGAAAAAAAGAAAGAAAAGGGAGAAGGAAAGAAAGAGAGATGGGTCTGGGAGAAGGTCTCTCTGAAAGAGCAAGGACACAAAAGGAGGGAAGGGAGGCCATGGCTGATCTGTAGAGTCCAGGAACAGCCTGCCTGAAGGAGGCACCTCTCAGAAGCTTGGGAAACACCGGGGCAGCCTCCTGCTGGGAGCAGAGAGTGAGGCCTGGGTCAGGGTGCGAGGGTGTGTTTGCCAGGACTATGGTTTGATTGGAGAGAGGCAGAGTTGTGGAAAGGGCTACAGGTGAGTTAGCCGCTGTTTTAGGAGATGCGGAACAGTCAGGGAAAGCCAGGTGTGGTGGCGCTGGCCTGCCATCCTAGAGTAGGAGAGCCTTGTTGTAGGGAGGACAGAGTCAAGCAGGAGTTACTCAGGTGGCTACTGCCATGTGGAAGCCAGAGGAAATGGCAACTTGGCTTCTCCTAGCCTGCCAGTTTGGGGCAGCAAGGCCATACTTCTCTCCTCTTACATGGGGTCGATGGGGTTGATGGATACAGACACTAACTACTCCCTTTCCCACAAAGCCCTGCTGCAGCAAGAGGACCAGGTCACCAAGGCTCTCAGTTTCTGGTTGGCCCTGCCAGAAGCCACTTGACGTCTCTTTTCCCCCTTCTAGCGATACTTTAACCTATCGTGTGGGCCTGGGGAAGTACAATCTGACAGTGGAAGATGAGGAAGGTGCCGTGTACGCAGATGTGGAAACCATCTACGTCCATGAGAAATGGAACCCCATCTTTGTGAGGTGAGTGCCAGCCCTGGGCAGCTGGAGTCACAGAGTCCAACCCCTGCACTTGGCATGCCCAAACCACAGGGTCACAAGATGGCACCCATTCAGTCCTTCTCAGTGATCAAAGATTAGGATTAAGTACACAAGGGATCTCTATCTCCAAGACCCCCACCAAACTCATCTAGAATTCACCCAGCCAGAGGCTGAGCCAAGTGTCACCCAGAGTGAGTGAGTGCCCAGCACATGCGCAGACTGCGACAGACATGTGAGGTGCCGCCCTTCATCTAAGCCTCACGACAGACAAGGAACTAAAGCTCCAAGAGGTTAGGAAATATAGTCCACGTGGAGTTTGGTGATACAAGCCTTTAGCCCCAGTTCTGAGGCGGCAGAGGCAGGTGGGTCTCTGAGTTCAAGGCCAGCAGTTTGGTCTGCTTAATGAATTCCAGGACAGCCAGGGCTACGTGGGGAGAACCTGTCTCAAAAAAACAAACAAACAAAAACAGTGAGGTCACCAATGGTGTCATAAATCCTTAATCCCAGCACTCAAGAGGCAGAGGCAGGTGGATCTCTGAGTTCGAGGTCAGCCTGGTCTACACATAGAGTTCAAAGATGATAGTCAGCACTATATAGAGAAGCCCTGTCTCAAAAATCCAAAAAAAAAAAAGAAAAGAAAAGAAATATGTCCCAAATCATATAGTTCAGTGCATGCCTGCCTGGGTCACCAATTTTCCTGCAGCAACAGAGACTGTTTAAATAAACCTGCACATGCCCCTGCAATTGCTTGCTACAGCTCACTTTCCAGGGGGTCATAACCTACAGTTCTGAACATTTCCACTCTGTTACGCTGTCATGAACTGGCACATGAGGAAGATGCCACACCCCAGGGGACAGGTGTGCCCATTAGAAGGGACAGCTGGGCAGGTGGCTGCATGGCTAGGAGCACCTGCTGGGTGTCTCAGTCCAGATTTCTGTTGCTGCAATAAATACCATGACGAGAAAGCATCCTGGGAAAGAAAGGGCTTGCTTCATACTTCCAGGCAACCGTCCATCACCGAAGGAAGTTCGAGCAAGAACTCAAGCAGAGCGGGAGTCAAGACAGGGTTTCTCTGTGCAGCCCTGGCTGTCCTGGAACTCGCTCTGTAGACCAGGCTGGCCTCGAACTCCAAGATCTGCCCACCTCTGCCTCCTGAGTGCTGGGCCACAGTCAGCTGGGCCCTCTCTCATCAGATGAATTAAGGAATGCCCTACAGACTTGCCTGCCTATAGGCCAATCCTATGAAAAGTGCTTTTCTTGCTGGGCAGTAGTGGCTCACACCTTTAATCCCAGCACTTGGGAGGCAGAGGCAGGTGGATCTCTGTGAGTTCAACAAGAGCTAGTTCCAGGACAGGCTCCAAAGCTACAGACAAACCCTGTCTTGAAAAACCAAAAACAAACAAAAAAAAATTGCTTTTCTCAATCAAGATCCCTTCTTCCCAGGTGACCCTAACTTGGGTCAAAATGACATAAAATTAGACAGCATGCTGTGCGAGCTTGAGAACCTGAGTTCAGATCCCTGGCGCCCACATGAGAAGCTGCATGTGGCTGGTAGAATCTCTAACCCCAGTGCTGTGGGAGGTGCAGACATGGGGATCTCCAGGGGCAGCTGGCTGTCCCCAGGGAATAAGGTGGAGAGTGAGAGAGCAGGACACCTGACATCCATGCACGCGTGCGCGCACACACACACACACACACACGCGCGCGCGCGCGTGCGCGCGCGCACAGTCATTTGTCCTCCAGAGTGTCCACCAGCTAATAAGCTGCTAGGAGGTCTTTACAGGGGAATCTCTGGCCACCAAGGCTCGACACCCAGCACCACCTTCTACACACTTGCCAAACTTCCGCTTTGCATTCCAGGAATGACATTGCCATCATCAAGCTGGCTAACCCCGTGGAGCTGAGTGACACCATCAAGGTGGCCTGCCTCCCAGAAGAGGGTGTCATACTGCCTCAGGACTACCCCTGCTATGTCACTGGCTGGGGTCGCCTCTGGAGTGAGTACAGCCTGCCCCCGGGACATCCCCCCAGGCTTCCTGGAAGAGGCGCCACTCAAGATCAGCCTGTCTCCCACATTCTCTCTCTGCCTGATAGTTCCATAGATTTTAAACCTTTGTGATAATGAAAGTTAATATTAATTACTCAGCCCAGATCATGTGACAAGCATGTCACAAGTGAACGTGTTGGGAGATACGAGGATTATTTAGGCTAGAACTCATCAAGCATTGAAGAGAAATGTGGCTCATTGCCTCAGCCACATAAGTAAACTAAAAACAAAAGGCAGGCCTGATCACGCAGGCCTGCCTGTGATCCAGAACTTAGAAGGTAGAGGCTGGAGGATCAGGAGCTCAGGGTCACTACATAGGGAGTTTGAGGCTAGCCTAGGCTACATGAGAACCTATATCAAAATAAGAAATAAACTAACCAACTAATTAAAACCATCCTCTTAGGGGTAGGAGGCTAGTTCTCACAGCCAGCCAATGTCCAAGCAGATGTCAGCTGAACTAGATGGTTAAATGGAAATTAAAGCTATGCACAACTTAGAGAAAGCACAGGCTAGCTCTTAAGGACATCATGGGCAAAGAGAACCTTCAGATATATGCAGCTAAGATGGAGTTCTGGAAGGAAATGACAGTTGAATCCTCAAGATCCTAACTGAGGCAGAGGGATCACAGGTAAACCTGCCTCAGTACAGAGTGAGTTTGAGACCAACCTGGGTAACTCAGGGAGACCCTGTCTCAGTACAGAGTGAGTTCGAGACCAGCCCCAGCAACTCAGAGAGACCCTGTCTCAAAACTAAGAGTTTAAAGAAGGCTGGGTATAGGGCTCAATGGTAGACTGCTTGCCTAGCATACTCAAAGCCTTGGGCTTGATCCCTAGCACAGCAAAACAGAAAGGGAGTAAAAGTCAGACTCCAAACTAAAGACACGTGGTCTCCAAGGGACTGCAACCCAAAGTTTTGTGCCATCCTGATGAAGGGCACACTCACGGTTCCCACTGCCTTCCATGCATCAAATGTCGTAATTTTAAAAAAAAATGCATCAAGAGAGAAAGACACCAAGTAACAGAGCTCATGTGGAAGGTTGTTTTCTGTTTTTTGTTTTTTTTTAATGGAAAGGAAACATAAAAAGCGGGACAGAGAGGGGGGAGACTGGTCTCTGGAGACAGGAGCAGCAGAAGAGAAGAGAGAGATGGGCAAGGGGAGGAGACAAAGAGATAGGCAGAGAAGGAGAGAGAGAGAGAGAGAGAGAGAGAGAGAGAGAGAGAGAGAGAGAGAGATGGGAGGTGGGCAGGGCCTTTTAAAAGGGGAACGCAGTGACTGTGCCCAGGAGGCGCCCTTAGTGGCTGCAACTGAGAATGTAGCCCGTCAGAACTCCAAGGGCAGGCCAGTACGGACGCCTGAATACTAACACCAAAGCCTGCCTTTGCCCAGTCCCAGTCTCCTGCTGGCTGGAGGCCAGAGCTATGGCTGGGCTGAGGGCACAGGCTGACTCCCTGGCACGACTGCTCTCTCCCCAGCCGATGGTCCCATCGCTGATGTGCTCCAGCAGGGCCTGCAGCCCATCGTGAGTCACTCCACGTGCTCCCAGTGGGGCTGGTGGTTCCCCATGGTCACCAAGTCAATGGTGTGCGCTGGGGGTGACGGCGTCATCTCAGCCTGTAACGTGAGTGTCTTGGCACCATACCAGGGGGCGGCCGGGAGGTGGGCAGAGCAGGGTGAGAGGGAGCCAATCAAACCCCTCCCTCCAGAAAGCCACGCCCCGAGGGACCCTGCCTGCCTAGGGGAAAGCTGCCACTCCAGCCCACTCCTCGCTGCTCACCCCCAGTGCATGGGAACAGACAGGGGGCTGGACGTGAGCGGCTCAACTTCAAGCCCCAACAGAGCCGGCAATTTGGTGGTCTGCCAAAGTGTTCTATAAAGTGGGGAGCAGGGGAGAGGTGGCTCAAAGGGTAGAGGGGACCTGAGTTTGATCCCCAGAACCCACGTGGTAGAAGGAGAGGACCGACTGCCACAGCTGTCCTCTGATCTCCACACTGCCCTGTGACATGTATACATGCACACGACATAAATGAAAACGAGAAAGAAAACGGGGCAGGGGCTGGGGAGGTGATTCAGTTGGTAGCGGTTGCCTTGTAAGCACAAAGACCTGAGTTCGAGCCCCAGAACTCACGTTGTAAAAATGCCAAGCGTGGTGGTGCAGCTGAATCCCAGGGCCAAGGAGGTGGAGATACGAGAACTCTTGGGTCTCACTGGACAATGACTCTAGGCCAGCTGGCCAGCTCCAGGCCAAAGAGAAGAAGTACAGCTGAGGATGGCATGCGAGGGCATCTTCTGGCTCCACACACATACACATATATCTGCATGCACACTGGCACGCATACCTGCATCCTCACACACACACATATACATACATGCACACATGCATACACATGCACATATCAAAAAAAAAAAGAGGCCGTAGAAACCACTACACAGAGCCGCCAAGAGACTAAATGGGTCTATAGCAGCATGAAGTAGCTTCCCTTCAGGTTTCATACATGTTCCTGAAGGCTCCGAGGTGCCAGTCCAGGGAGACGGGATCTCGGAGTATGACCAGAACCACAAAACATCCAGGACAATGGGGGACTGTCCATTCTGAAACAAATAACCCTCTCCCCACACCAGCCTCCCTACTTTCCCGAGCCTCTTCAGGGTCCCCAGCCTCCTTGACTCTCTGGCAAGTTCACAGAAGCTTACACACAATGACCTGAACAATAAGGGAAACTGAGGCAGAGTAGGTTGGCATCATCCCAGACCACAGCAAACCAAGAGCTAGCTTACACTTCAGAGACTCACAGAATGAGGTCCAGGCAGTCCCGACACTTTCTCTGTAGATATCCCTCCGGCTAGTCTCAGGCCTAAATAACAGATAGAGAGGTTAAGGGCCCAGCTCACATCCCCCCCCCCCCCAGCAGCCAAAGGCAGCCCTGAGGGAGAACTGGAGCTGAGGCCTGCTGCTCTGTTGCAGGGAGACTCGGGTGGCCCACTGAACTGCCCAACAGGAGATGGGTCCTGGCAGCAGCATGGTATTGTGAGCTTTGGCTCCTCTGAAGGCTGCAACGTAGCCAAGAAGCCAGTGGTCTTCACCCGCGTGTCTGCCTACATTGACTGGATCAATGAGGTAGGTGTCCCCTGTGCCCCTCCCTGTGCCCCTGAGCCCACTTCCTCCTGTAGACTCTCCTTCACTGGCCCACATTCAAGTTCCATTCTTCCACTCGCTGAGAAACCCTAGCTGAATCCTTCTTGGAGTAGGCCTCGAGTCAGGAATGGGAATGGGGTGTCACAGAGGGGGCATGCAGGTGGCCACATAAAGGCTTGAGGGTGTAGGAACAGAGGCATCCTGGGCAGGGCTCCCAATAGGTATAGGATATGTTCTAAGCCCACATGGACTATGCTCTGAAAAGCTGGGAGACCCAGAGCCTTTGAGGAGAGACCAGGCCTGGCCATGTCCCTGCTGGGAACCTACTACCCCGAAGTGCCTTGTTCTGCCCCAGAAGGTAGCAAGTCCCAGAGTCACTCATAACGGCTTCTCTTCCACCAGAAAATACAACTGTGAAGAGCTGGTTCCAGAAGCCTTGAGCCCCATCTCCCAGCAGCAATAAAGCTCCTTCCATGAACTCCTGGGTACATTCGTTAATGCCTTCCGGCGTTTCCCGGGTCTCTGCACACTGAAAACATACACCCTAGACCAAGCCATAGAGATGTTAAAGGCAGGTGTCACTCATCAGTTGGAGGCAAGCAGGTAGCTTGAGGGGTCAGAATTAAAGCCTATGGCCTCCAGCTGGCAGAGGCAGAGGGCTCCTCAAGGCCAGGTCACAGGAAGATGGATGGATCTCAGAGACAACCACTAATTCCTAGGGACGAGCGCCCATCAGGTTCCTCCTGCCCAGCACAGTCGGGAGCAGCTGTTGGCCAGAGGTGTCTGGTTGAAGAAGGGTTTAATGAATCCTGAACCAGAATGGCACAGGAGGAGAAGACCCTAGACCCAAGTGGTTTCCACCCAGTCTAGGAAAAGCCTTCACTGAATAAGATGGGGAGGGAAATTGAGGCCCAGAGAGAGAAAGTGCTGGACTAGGTGTCAGGCACAGTGAGCCAAGGGGGAGCCACAGTGGACTAGGGACAGGAGTGTTCTCAGGAGGCAGGTGAGACTCCAGACCTGAGTAGCCAGGGTCTGGGGAGAGATATCCCTGCCCCTTCGTCCCCTGACCAGAGGGTCCCCTGGCCTGGGACGCGCCGGAAAGTGTGCCATTTGTCTTAGGGTTCCTATTTCTGTGATGAAACACCATGACAAGGAGCAAGTTGGGGAAGGAAGGATGTGTTTGGCTTACACTTCCACATCACTGTTCGTCCTCAAAGGAAGGCAGGACAGGAACTTGGGCAGGGCAGGGACCTGAGGGCAGGAGCTGATACAGAGGCCATGGAGGGGTCCTGCTTACAGGCTTGCTTCCCATGGCTCGCTCTCAGCCTACTTTCTTATAGAGCCCAGAACCAACAGCCTAGGGGTGGCACCACCCATAATGGGCTGGACCCTCCCCATCAATCACTAATTAAGAAAATAACCCACGGCCCGATCTTAGGGAGACGTTTTCTAAGTTGAGGCCACCTCCTCTCTGGTGACTCTAACTTGTGTCAAGTTGACACAAAACCAACCAGCACAACTGACCACTAGCCACCTGGCACACAGACACATCACTGTTAAGCCATAACCTTTCCTTTCTTGTTCATCCCTGAGAGGATACATTAATAAGAACAATACAATGTAAAATATTCCAAGTATTAAAAACCCCAATCTTTACAAATTCAAACACTTTAAAATTCAGTCTACCTAATTTCCAAAGTCTCTTTTAAAACCTAGAATCTTGCTGGGCAGTGGTGGTGCGCACCTTTAATCCCAGAACTCAGGAGGCAGAGGCAGGTGGATCTCTGTGAGTTCAAGGACAGACTGGTTCACAGAGCAAGTTCCAGGACAGGCTCCAAAGCTACACAGAGACACCCTGTCTCAAAAAACCAAAACAAACAAACAAACAAACTTAGAATCCCTTTAAAATTCAACTATCGGCTCCTATAAAATCAAAAATAAATTTGATGCCAACTAAATACATTCTTACCCCAAGAGGGAAGAACCAGGGCACGGTCACAATCAAATACAATCAAAGCAAAGCAAAACCAAACTCCAATTATAAATAACTCAGTACCCGGTGTCCGGGATCCACTCACCATCTTCTGGATTCTTCCAAAGGGTTTGGGGTCACTTCTCCAGCTCCGCCCTCTGCAGCACACACAGCTTGTCTTCTAGGCTCCTGCTGACTCCACTCCACTGCTGTCCTTGGTGGTCACCCCACGGTCGGGCATCTTCAAAACGCTGGGGTCTCTGCTGCAACTGGGCTGCACTTTCACCACTTGCCTTCCCTGGGCTCCCTTCATGGTGCCAAGTCTCAGCTTCTCTGCCGGACCCCTTCAATCCTGGGCCTTCACCTGCCGCTGAGACTGCATCTCTACCAATGGCCTCTCCTAAGCTCTCTTCAGGGACTCTGCTGTAAAAAGGAGCGGTGGGCGTTGTTCCCGCCTCCCGGCTTCCGGCCGCCTGGCTAGCTTTACCTGAAATAATTACATGGAAACTGTATTCATTTAAACACTGCCTGGCCCATTAGTTCCAGCCTCTTATTGGCTAATTCTCACATCTCGATTAACCCATTTCTAATAATCTGTGTAGCACCATGAAGTGGTGGCTTACACCCATCTGGGGTCAGAGAATCATGGCGTCTGCCAGACTCTGTTTACTTTCTCCCAGCATCCAGTTTGGTCTACTCCGCCCACCTAATTTTCTGCCCTATTAAAATGCCAAGGCAGTCTCTTTATTTAACCAATGAAAGCAACAGAAATACAGAAGGACCTCCTACATCAGGACTCTAACCCTGCCACACAGTGCCAAGCCTTAGCTGCTCTCCATGGCCCCTTCACACCTTCAAAACGAGCACCATGGAGTGACTCTCACCCTACAAGTCTGGCTGCCAATGAGAGGTTCGACCTCGGCTATGTCTGGAATACAGCTTCTGTGTGCTGACTCTCAGGAAACATGCTCCTGAGATTTTACCTCAACAATGCTGGCCTCCTCTTAATCACCATTAAGTTCTCAGCTCCAGCTGACCAGTGTCAAGCGACCCAGCACAGCAAAGATTTCACTTCAGTAGCCCTGTATCTTGTTAATCGCAGCTGGTTCTTCAGCCTCAGCAAACCAGAACCGTGAAAATCCACCCCCCCACACCCGCCGCCATTTTGCTTTTTCAAGACAGGGTTTCTCTGTGTAGCCCTGGCTATCTTGAAATTCACTCTATAGACCAGGCTGGCCCTGAACTCAGAGATCCGACTACCTCTGGACCTAGAGAATCTTAATTCAAAAATAACAAATGGCCCTGATCGAGTCTGTAAATTTCTCTCTGCAACTTCACGAATCAGACCTCCATCATTTTGGCTGCTCTCAATGTTCTCATCTTCCGAGCTCCCATAAAACAGCCCACTGAGATCTCAACCTCAGTGACTTCTCTAGCCAAACTTCTACTCCTTCCACAAACCTCTGCAAAAGCCGTGACCCCTTTGAAGGGGGTTCACCTATCAGATATTTACATTATGATTCATAACAGTAGCAAAATTACCATTATGAAGTAACAACAAATGATTTTATGGTTGGGAGTCACACAACCTGATTTTTTTTTTTTTTGAGACAGGGTTTCTCTGTAGTTTTGGAGCCTGTCCTGGAACTAGCTCTTGTAGACCAGGCTGGTCTCGAACTCACAGAGATCCGCCTGCCTCTGCCTCCCGAGTGCTGGGATTAAAGGCGTGTGCCACCACCGCCCGGTCCAAGCTAGTTCTTAAAATTGGAAGTGTCCTAAGAGTATTGCTGGCTGCTTGACCTGAGCATCCTCAGAAACCTTCTTTCATGCCTGTCTCTATGTGAGCAGTGATACATGCTCAACTCTTGCTGACCCCAGGTTCATTGTAGTTAGGGAACTAGGGGGATCAGTTTTGGCCAATAGAACATAAAAATGGAATAATCTGGTGTTCGATGAGCTCTGTGGGTTTTACATTCATCTTATCTCCCCAGCCCAGGCCAGTGAGGCTGGCTGTCATCACACACACCCCCTTTGGCAGATGAGAAAACTAAGGTCGGAATGATCTAGTGGCCTTCCAGGATGGCTTAACTAGAAAGTGGGAGAGCTCGAATTCAGACATTGTTAATCTGGCTCCCAAGTACATGGATCGGAGCACAAATGTAAGGAGAAGGAAAATTGTCCCTGTAAGGGGAACCAACACACATTGAGGTTATGCCTTGAATACAGGCTCCACGGCTGGAGCTGAGGCAGCCATCCTGTGGCCGTGTGAACTGCAGCAATACCAGCTCAGGCTTTGTTGAGCTGATGCTGCAGAGCTGAGGCCAGCAACCACTCCCCTTCAAATTTCGTTGCTGTGTGAAAAAATGAAAATAAATCTTGTGGGGGTCCACAGATCCACTCCACCTTGACTGAAGGCTTAAGTCTGCTCTCAACCTTTCAAAGTTACTGACAAGAGGTCTGACTTAAGAATAGGCTACAAACAAGATGTAGGGTGTGGTTACTTAGTGTTTTGGATATTAAGATGGCCAATAGAGGTGGATCTGCTCCACATCAGCCAAAGGTCAGGGAATTCAAGCCTATTCCTGCTCCTTCAAGGATATGACAGGAGGTTTGACCCAGGGAGTGGCTGCCTACAGGATGCTTGGTCTAAGGTATGGTCCTTACATGTCCTACCTAAACAACAGAATACGTAATTATACAGTTACTTGATATTTCAAGTATTGAGGCAAGTAATTGTTCTGTTTGCTCTTTGTGTCATGATAGAGCAGTCTTTTTGCCTTCTTCCCCCCTTTTTGGATTGGAGTATATAAGCATATGGAAAGTAAACACCCAGTATTCACTGGATAGCCCTCACGGTTCTATCCTATGTCTCTGTGTTTCTTTCATATCTCTGTTGTTCCTATGTAATTTTTCCAATCCACATGCCCCTACCCTGGAGTGTGTGAACCCCATGGAGGCAGGACCCCAACAGATGCCCCCCAACATGTGACTACGACAAAATCTGCATTTGTTTTAGCCACTGTCATTAATGGTCTATTTCTTTCTTTCTTCTCTTTAGACGGGATCTTTTGTATAGCCTTGGCTGGCCTGGAACTTCCTATGTAGTCCAAAATGGGGCATGGTACTCACAGAGATCCACCTGCCTTCTACCTTCCAGGTGCTGGAATTAAGGCAAGCCTGCACAGCCTGGCTACCTCTCAGTTTCTTGCAGCTCAACACACTCCTAAGGGGAAGCAGAGCAGGGAAAGGGGAAAGGGGAGGGGGTCCCCTTCCCGAGCAAAGCCACAGTGAGAGCCTAGAAGGGAACCCCAGCAGCTACTGTTGCTAAAGCATGGTGACTATCTTGAAAAAATACACTCAGTCAGCTAGCACCATGTTAAACAGGAGCCACAGGCCTGGGGAGTACTGAGTTCCAAGTCGGCCTCAGAGACAAGGTGAGCGCCTG